TATGCGAAGAAGTGTATCACTTTTGAAATTAATTAAATTTCTGGAATCAGTTGTTCTTAAAATTTCAAATTGAAACCTTTTGAAGTTCATCTATTTATGAAGATTGTAAACGCAACTCTTTTGAAATTCAATTAATTTTGAAATTTTTAAGTAAAATTATTCATTAAATAATTTGTGAATAATTATTTTATGATAGTTCTTCAAGAATTAAGTTATTTCATATTTAATTAAGTTATTTAAAAAGAAATTATTATCATAGAAAGAGAAAAAAATTGAAGGTTTTGTATTATATAATTCATGGCAATTTCATAGTTTATGAGGCAAACAAAAAAGACTCAAAAATTCAGAATTTTCGTAATTTTATGGTAATTTCTAAAAATTTATTTTTTTACAGTACTTTTAATAAAAATTTCTGACTTTTCCCTGATTTTTCTGAGCAATTCTAATTTCCCTGACTTTTCCCTGAATTTCCTGACTTCCCTGACCTGTGGCAACCCTGATTATTAATTGGTAATATATTTTAAAATTGGTCAAATTTAGCTATTTTTTAACTAATATAAAAATCCTCGAAAAACAACCAAAAAATTGTTTAAATGATAATATAGATAACGATTATGAAAAGAAATAATAAATAAAGTATTCTGTGAAAAAAATGTAAAAAATTTGACGTTTCTTATCTGTCGATATAAAGGGTATTAGATAGAGAGTCAAGAGGGTTAGAAAAACTGGTTGAAAAATGTCTTTGATGATGAAAAGATCGATTACGTCATATCCCTTTGTTTTTCGCCCCCTGTTGTTTTTGCATGAAGCGTTATAGAGAAATTGGATTTTCTAGATAGTAAAATAGTTATCGATTAGCACTCTTGTTTGGGCGTGGATTTAGAGGATTGAATTATCTCGTTATCACGCCAAGTCTTTTATTATGCATAAGACTTGAAATTCTTCTTGTTTGACAAAGGCTTATACAAAGGTATATATATATGACAATGTGTAAATTTTAATTCCTTCGATCGTTGTAAAATTGACCTATATTGCGAGGGTAGAAAAATAAAAATGATTAAGATTGTTTAATTATTATTATATGATAATCCACGTGAATGTAATGAAGCTGCGAGACAAAATGTAGAAGTGTCGGCTTCCGTTTATTGATTTCGGCCTAGAGCCGGTTAGCTACGACTATACGTTGAATGTGGGCCATGCTGTGTTATACTGCAATGAATATATAGATATCTATGTATATTAAACATGAATCCACAGTGCTTATATTGCCCTTACACTTTTCTATTCACGATATGGTTGCTTGTATGTGTGTACAAGTCTTGATATTCACCAAAGGAATAAAATATCTTTCCCAGTTCTCATACAAGGATATTTTCAAGCAGAAATCTCTTTTAGAAAATTGAGTCTTGAGAGCTGCTGAAAACTTTACTTCATCCATGAAAAATACTCTTTCCTACTCAGTTTACCTTCTCAGGGTTCAGTTTTAATCCTTTATTTCTCATTTCTGTGTAGTTTTTGCATTATTTCGTAGTCTATTACCCCTCCGGTATTTTCCTCTTTTTAGCTTTCTTTTTCCTCTCTACGTTTTATAAAAACTATTCTTTACATTGAAAAATAATGTCGCACCATTAGAATTAATAATAAATAATAATGAATAGTAATAATACAATTAAAAATGATTTTTAATTATTATTTAATTCCGTAGGTATATTAAAATTTTTCAAAATATTCAAATTCAATAATTTGTAAGAATATTTTTTATAAAACATGAAGATACCAATCACTCCGAGTCTGGCTGGCAATCTGGTTTCACTGGCTTAAATTTTGATTTAATGAATAATTATTTTTTGAAAAATAAAAATTTTTGAATCTGATTTTTTGTATGGAAGGAATTTTTTTTATATTAAATTCTTATTATTTTATAGATAATCTCTATTTAATGGAACTGAAATCAGACCCTCTGCATGTTCTCTCTCATTTCTCTCTAGTTCATTGAATTTTCATTTAAGAGAAGTTTCGGTTTAATAGAATATATATATATATATATATATAAGAGAATTTACATTCAATACAATTTCCATAAAATAGATTTTCAATTTAACAGAATTACTCTTCGATTTAAATTTTTCACTGTGGTTGGAATATTTATTTAATATAGAACTTTTAATTAATTTACTTCAGATTTGGCAAAGGGAGAATTTTTTTATTGAAATTTTTGTTGGAACAATTTTTTTTTTATTTTGTTAATAGGAGTGATACATTTTGTGAGAGAATTTCTAAGATAGGAATTTTTAATTGACAGGATTCTCTTTTTATTGCTGTGCTTTAACTCTAGACAGTAAAGAATTAACTGTTATGTAAGATAAGGCTGAAATTAATTGAGTCTTGAAAATAAAGGTTTTTGTAAAGTTCAATTTTTGTGAAAGAAAAATGTTTATATATCTGATTTTATATACAAAGTACATGGATTAAAATAAGATTTACTTGTGAAGAATTTTTATGTATTTAATATAGAATTCTTAAAAAGGAAACTTTCGTTTAACACTAAAATATTTTATATAAGACTTTGAAACGATAGTTGAATTTTAAGACTGAAAGATAGTCTTAATGTAAGATAAAACATTATTTCAAGACAGCGTGTGATGAATTCAGGTAATTAAAAACTACAGAAAGTAAAGTAAAAGTCAAGAAAGCATTTGCTTTTAACAGGCTATCAAATAGTAAGGGTGTTGTAAATTACTAACTGCCAGAATGTAATAAAACACGTAATTTGTCACTTTTCACTTCTCAAGAGTTCTATTATATTTTGTGTCGAAAAAGCCCTTCGTAATTGGCAAATACCCAGGCGCAGTGCGGCAGATGGCTCTATAGTCATTTTTATTCATTATCTGATTAAAAAGAAAAGGAAAAAATAATTCCATTAACATAATACTATACTTTTCATCCAAGGTGCAATTGTATAATAAATTATAATACGCACGTAAAAACATTTCCTGCCACAAGCACATTATAACTATTCAAATAAATTTATATTGTTATTACTGAAGAATAATTCTAAATCACTTAAGGAAAAGTCTAAGTGAACTGTTTTTCTTTTTTTTAGTAAACTAGAACCGAAAAATCAATTTGAAAACTAATAAAAATAATTAAAAGTAATGAACGAGAAATAAAATAAATAAAAAATAAAAATCATGAATCTAAATATTTGAGTAACTACTCATTGGTTATATTGCAATCATTGTAATTACAGTGATTATATGACATGCAAATTCTCCTCGTATTCCAACTTCAAACTTCCATCTAAATAATAGAAAGATTCTAACAAGCAATTAAAATATGGTAATTACTTTATCAGATATCAAATCTTGATAGAAAAAAATACAATTTTTTTATTGAATTTTGCAAATGGAATATAAAATAAAAATTTCCTTAAAAGTCTATTATTAAAATAGAAAATTTCTGCGTAAAATCTATTTTTAAAACAGCAAAATTTACTATATTGAACTGAAATTTGATACTGTAGAATTTTTATTTAGGCGAAAAGTTTTCAAGGTTTTTGTGTGGCAAATTCAAGGAACAATTTAACAATTTAACGAAAATTCAAGGATTTTAAAAAGTCTTTGAAATGAATTCTTTCGAGGTGGAACTGGAAATCAAAACTACTCATGATTTAATTACTAGATAGTTTAGTGGTTAGACATTCCAAAGTCTTTTCTTAACTATTTTTATTTACATCATTTCTTGAAAAATCGAAATTAAAAAATGCACAGGCGCGAAGAATTGAACTTCGGACCGTTATTGTTGAGAGTCGGTTACCGTGATCATTGAGCCATGTCACTTGATGACTATGAGTTGGAAATTTTAACAAAAATTTAAATTAGAAAATTTTAAAATTCTATTATTTTTTAAAATTGCTAATTTTATTTAAAAAAAAGGTAGTAAGAAGTTAGTTATTGTTGTTAGTTAATTATCATAAATGACAAATTTATTATTTGAAAGAAAAAAAATTGATTTTATTAGAATTATTTTTCTGCGAATGTGTACGGTAGTTAGATAACAATTAAGCGTAAGAAAACATTAAAACATTGAGAAAAAATGTTGAGAAACATTGAAAAAAGTTTGAATTGAGAAAAAAGTTGGAACAAAAGAACGAAAAAAGAAAGCAGGATGCAACTCAGGTGTTGTTAATTTCTTTTTAGTGTTGCAACAGCCAAGAAGTTTAACTGTGAGTGAAGAAATTCGGGCATGAATTTTAATTAAATTAAGTCATTAAATTTAAATTAACAAAATTTATTTCATTCAAATAACGGAATAGTTGTCTACTATCTAATATTTATATTCAAATATAAATATTTTTATCAAATTTTTGTTTCAATCAATTAAATGGATATTTGCTTAAAAATACTCACATTATTGGTTAAAATATAAATTATTTGATTTAAAAAATATTGAATAGAAATATTGAATTAAATTTGATCTAAGTAAATATTTATTACAATTGGGTATATTGATGAAATACATTTTTTTAGTGTAATAATTTTATTATTATTATTATTATTATTATTATTATTATTAAAATAGTACGAATGTTTAAATTTATTATTATTTTTATTGTTATTAATGTCCAGTTTGATTAGATTAATTATACATTAATTATTAGGCGACTAATTGGTCAATTTATCGGGACAAAATATTTTGTTTCTATTGGCATAATAATTGTTATCATTTAGATCATTTATGCGAAACATAATTGACCTTTAACTTGACGGTTAATTACAACAAACAAAGATGTAAATTAAATTTTTTTTAAAGGGTCAAATTGTTTATTTTTTAATTATGATTTGACGTGTCGATAGAAAAACACCTTATGACCCACATCCTTATCAGAAGGTTTCTTTTTTTTATATTTTTCAACGTTAGATGTTAATTTTTTATTCATCAAGAAAAATTATTTTCTTTTTGCAATAAATTAATAATTAAATTAATTTTTGAATAATTACCTCTATTATTGAGTCTTGTTGCATGTTATTTGTGCTATCTTGATTGTAAAATGCTAAGACGACAAGTACCAAAATTCCTACGACCACGATTGTCCTACGAATTCCCATAAGGATATGACGTCGTGGTGTCATCTTTTCCCTGGGAATAATTTTCCTTCGGTATTCATATCGGACTGAAACAATTGCGAGAAATCTTTTGGTAAATATTTGTTGAGATAAAATTTGTCTTTTTTCGTTGTTGTTTTAGAAGAAGAACAAACGACAATTGACAAATAAAATAAAAATAAAAGTGAGAAGTACTCACTTTTATTTTTATTTTATTTGTCAATTGTCAGTTGTTTACGAAATTTGTATCAGCTATATATTTCCATTTTATTTTCTAAATTGAATTGAATATTATATATTTGTAATTTTTGATTCTGAGTTCATTATTGTCAGTCAATTTTTTATTATATTAATGTTTATTATTGATGTAATCAAATTGATTTCATGACGCTTTGTAAATTTACAAAATTGGATTATCCATCAAGTTTCCATTTCAATTTAATATTAATATTAATATTATTATTATTATCATTATCATTGTTTATTATATTATTATTGATTCACATATACATTGGAGGGCACAAAAATGTACAGAATTTTTTTTTACTTTGCTGAAATTTAGAAGGTTTTTGAAATCAAAAACTTGAAAGAAACTTGAAAAAAATGTTTCTTTTAAAATTATTGTCTAAAAACGTTCTGATTTCTGAATTTTAACCACATTTTTTCTTTTTCAAATTGATTTAAAGAAATATTAAAAAATAATTATTCCCGAGTTTATTTTAGTTTTTGCAATTCATATTTTAAAAGTCTGAAAGTTTCTTCTTTTAATGTGAGTTTTAAATTTCTGTTAAATTCTATAATTTATTTGATTTTCCAAGAAATTTAACTGCAGCCATTTTTCAAGTTATTCTATTTTTTACACTTGAATGGAACTTAAAAAAGAGGAATTTACAGTTATTTAACTATTGAATTGGAAAATTACAATTTTGAAATGCTTGACTGTGTATTGAATACTGTAATAGAAAATCTATATAAATATAAAAAGACTGTGACATTAAGAATAATTATTTTCTTTTTTGTTGTGTAATAAATCTTGCATTTTTTTTGCATTCTATTTCGGAAAATAAGATGATTCTTAGGTGTCGTTAATGTCTCTAAGTATACATATAGTAAACATAAATGAGCAATAACCTAGTTTAGGATTCTATTATTGTTTCTAGTTTTCATAGAAAAGTGATACTTGATATCACCTGCACTAGATATTTCCTTGTAATTATAATATTTAATTAAATAAAAGAAACATTTCTATAAAACAAAACAAACAAAAAGTAAAAAATTATTGTATTAAAATAGTAACATGGTAATAGTCGAATGCATTTTAAATTATTAATAATAATATTTTCTCTTTATTTATATATTTATTATGATGTGAATGTGAAAAATATAACAATGAAAATTTCTGGTGTTTATATTGTTAATAAATAAACTATAATTTAGCAATAAATTTATTATTTATTATATAGTAAAAATAGCAGTTTGCAAATTGAAATTTAATTCTTTAGCCTCAATTAGTAGATAAATAATTTGAATAAACCATAATTGAGAGCTCTTACCGTTCTAATTGTGGTTGTTAAATTATTTATTGAATAAATTATTATTATTAGTCTCTATCAAATTGGTTATTTTTATTTTTAAGTAATAATTAAAATACAATAATAATAATAATGATAATAATAATAATAATAATAATAATAATAATAATAATAATAATAATAATAATAATAATATTATTTGTCCAAAAATATTTTCTAAATTAAATTAAAATAATAATAATAATAATAATAATAATAATAAAAAATAGTATTGCTACAAAATAATAGTAGAAGACTTAACAATAATAAAGGAAAAGTTAATAATAAAATGTTAATTAAGTAGTTTATCAATTAAAATTAAGCAATTAAGAGATTTAATTAAACTAAAGAGTTTGGATTATGAGAGTTTACAGCAGTCCACAATTATAATATTATATACGTTTTTTTAAAGAAAATAATTAAAACACCTTTATTGTAAAAGCAAATGAAATTATCCATTAATTAAAAAAAATGTTTCTATTATATAATTACCCAGTTTCAACAAAGTTTTAATTTCATTTTGTTGGAAATTTTCAGTGATAACGAGATATCTCATTTGAAATATTTAAGACAAGTTCCCGTAAAAACAATTTTATTTCCAGTTTCCACGCTCTCAAGCATAAACCTTATTGTTAATTGTCTAGACGACTAATATATACTTAAAAGATTATTCAATACTTGAAAATTTCTGTTATAATTATTATATACATAGGTATACATATTGCAGAAAGGAAAAGATTTATATCAGTTTATTTCTTAATAGGATGACAAAAGTTAGTTTACAAAACCTGAATAATTAATTTCATATTTTTGTATTAAGTTTTTAATTAATAAAATTAAATAATGTTCTAGACGGCTAATTAAAATGATTATTAGATTTTGTCCACCTCTTTACTGAAATTAATTATTGACATCAATTTAATAGAGGAAATTTAATATTATTAATTACTGAACTAAATAATTTATGACACACTTTTTGTTTTTACGTGAAATAAAATAAAATATATTTACATAATTATAATTTATATAATTTATAATTTATAATTCAAATAATAATAATAATTGCAATCATAAAAAAATTTGTTTCAAACAACTGAATTTTAGTTTAGGCAACCGAATAAATATGTTGCTATAAAAAATATTAACCAAATCAATTAGCAATTTTTTTTTAATTGAACAAATTTTTTCTTTGGACGCACAAAACTTATTACATTGAAACAATTCACTGAGAAAACGATTTATTTGATTCAAAGATATTTTGTTTAAATCAAACTTAAAATATCTTTGCTATACAGCGAGCTATACAGTCAAACATATTTACTCTCTAAATCTGAATCAGTGAAATTCCCCCGAAAATCATTGAAATTTGACTGAGAATCAGTGACTCTATTCTCGCGATTTCAATCAGTGGAATTTCACTGAAAATCAGTTAAAAATGATTGAAATTTCAGTCATTTTCCACTCATTCGACAATTAAAAAACTACTGAAAATTTCAGTTATTTTTTAATTGGCCAATCAATGAAAAATGACTGAAATTTCAATCATTTTTAACTGATCTTTAGTGAAATTTCACTGATTCAAATCGCGAGAATAGAGTCACTCAGTCAAATTTCACTGATTCAGTTTTAGAGAGTAAGTTTAATTGAAACATATTTTTTGGTTCATTTAACGAAATAATATATTTAATTCAAACATAAGTTATGGTTCATTTTAAATTATTTATAATCAACTTTTGAGTTTGAATCAAACATAAAATTTTTTAACATAATTTTTGTTTAAATCGAAACAGAAAATATGTTTGAATTGAACATAATTATTCAAACAAATAATATTTTTGAATCAAAGCAGTAGATTTTTTCTATATATTGTGATTAAGCTTGCAAACTAATTTCAATTAAACAAAATCACTTAAAATTATTTTTCTATTTGAATGAAGAATGTTGTCTCCCTGGGTTTCTCAGTGAAATGTTTATTTAAATCAAATAAATTTCTATTCAGGTTATAGAAATTGTATTTAAATTAACTTAAAAATAAGGTTTGTAAAATAAAATAAAATAAAGTATTTGATTCAAAAATAATGTTTTTCTGAGTGTGAAATAAGCTTTTTAGTGTAAAATTAAATAAATGATTTATTATTCTTTATTATACTTATCATGTTTTATCATTTTTTGTCCATTGACAGAATAAGAATAGACTTATAGAATTAAATTATTATAACTGAAAATATAAAATGAAAACTTATTTCAAGTGGAAATTAATAATTCTGAGTTAATTTTTGATTGATTAAATAATTATTAAATGATCGAAAGTATTGGTATAATTTATTTAAATTTATTCTACTAATTAGAAATTATGTACCATGCATGTAGAGTTGATGCCTTTCGGCTTTGAATTGATTTATTTATTATCAGTTAATTAATAATTTAATTAATAACATCTGAATTTTTAGTTTGGAAAATTAGTGTTTGATTATCGAATGATCTTGATGTAGAACATATCCCAGACAATTTCCATCTTTTGTTGTTTAATGGAAGAAAGTATTTTTTTTCAAGTAGTAGGAAAATCGAAGTGGCTTGGTTTATTCATGAAAAGGTCATTAGAAGACTTATTTGAACATTCTTATGTGTATAGCGAGAAGTGCAATTGTCGGTTGGCTAACAATAAGTGAAAAGGGAATTTATTCATTTTAAATACCTTCTCCGGACATACGTCTCAAGGGAAGTCACTGATGGCTCATTTAATCTGTCAGCGCCTGAGATGATGCTGAATGTTTGCTGAAAGAAACTGTGAAGAAAATGCACTTTTTGTTCTCGTGTTTGATTGTCTGTTGCACAGTTGAACAGGTTTAACATGAACCACGTTAAGCTTGGAGAAATTATCGTTAGGGTGGACACGTGTTTGTGAGCCTATCATTGGCGAGTGCAATGACAAGTGGAGGAACTGAACGCTCACGGTGGCATCGTACAGATAACTGAGGACGCCCGGCGCTCCAAAGGCGCCGCGACGCTGCGTTGTAGGTGCTGGAGATACTCGCTAACTGTCCACATTGCTCCCTTTCTGTCCGTCATCATTTCAAAGAGTTTTTCTCAGGTCGATCCATCGCTGGCCATTCCTGGCGCAAGCGCATCTCTTTATTCTCTTTTTTAGAGCTTGTATAGTTGCTAAAGCCAAAGCTCTCCTTCGTGCATGTGCAATTCTTCGCACGGATGTCTAGACTCTCTCTCTTTCCCTCTCCTTTCTCTCTCTTTTCTCACGGTGTCGTGTTCGATTTGTTTTACCCGTTTTAACTTATCAAAATTCTTCGAGAAATATGAATTTGCATTTTCTCTTCGTTGTCTGTAATTTCCTATTCTTCATAATAATAAACCTGTTCCTTTTTCCTCGAGAGGATTTGCTCTGGGCAAAGAGTTTGGTTTTGACAACAAAACGTTTGATAGGTTGTAGGTAATTGAGATTTTTTCGGTGGCAATTGTCCCAAAAGTTGACCTAACAAACAGCTCTTTTTTTCTTACTGATTGTATCAATCAAAGTTTGATCTGTTTCAATAAAATTTGCAGGATTGCTACTCAACCTGAAAAGCTGGAAATGTTAGGAAATTTTATAAACCTTGAAAAAACCTGGAAAAGTCAGGGAATTTTGATCGAAATCCTGGAAAATTGTTGTCTTCTAAAGTTTATTCTTGAAATCTAATTTCATTTAAATATTTCAAAATTAATTCAATTTTAAAAGAATTGTGTTTACAATTTTCATAAGTATGAACTTCAAAAGATTTTGATTTAAAATTTTGTAAAATTTCAATTTTAAATGAATTTAATTAGAAATATAAAAAAGACTTAGATTTCAAAAAAATTTTTTAAACTAAAATTTTTCTGAAATTAGTTAAATTTTTTAATATATATTTAACTGATTATTAAAAATAATGAATTTATAGAAGAATTTTAGGTATCCGGTCATTTTCCCGAATCCAGAAACCCGAAAGACAATATCCCGAAAATCAAATTTCCCGAAAATCTAAACCCCCGAATACCTTTCTCCCGAAGACCATTATCCCGAAGGTCTATAAACCCGAAAGAAATTTTATTAAAAAATCAATGAAATCTATTTATTATTAATTTATTAAAAGGGTAAACATAAAGAATATTATAAAAAGGGTAAACATACAAAAGTATAATATAAAATATAAAAATTATAAAATAATATAAAATAAAAAAACATACAAAAGTATAATATAAAATATAAAAATTATAAAATAATATAAAATAAAATAGCGAAAGATGTGAAATGAAACCAATAATTTAAACAGCAATGTAGTACGATAAAGTTTTTAAAAATTCTATCTCCTGATTATTGCGATGATATTCAGGGTATTTCAAAACAATCCCTCGTAGTCTTTTTTGTGTCGTAATCCACTTTTTTTTTGGCGCAGCTCTTACTGCTCTTCCCAAGCTAAGTTCAACAATTGTTATATCAATATCCGCTTGTTCCCTTTGGATTTCAGTTAATAAAGAGTATAGGTCAGGGTGATGTTTCCCAATCACTATGCAAAATCTATTGTGCCATCCTTCACTGTTGTTGTTCGGCACATGAATTTAAAATCCCTTGCTCGAAATCTGTCATTATCTTCGCAGGAGATCCATCAATGTGGTATTCTTGAGCTGCGGTTTTTACGGCAGTCAAAACAGCACTATATTGTGCTGATTCTTTTGATGACAGCAATGCATAGACTAATGGTAAAGCAACATCGGTATTATACTCCTCGTCCTCAATATCTCCCACATTTTTTTTTACCATTCCAAGTATTGTAAAAACTTGTGTGAAGATGTTTGGCGAAACCTTGAAAGTTCCGTCCAGAAACCAAGTGGAACTTTGGAACAACAGTTCTAAATTTCGTCGCGTGCTAAAAACGAGGACCCTCGAATCACGATCTTCAGAGGATTCAATTGAATCATAAATTAAGAAAGTACATGTCTTTCCTCGCACCTTTACGCAATCCCAATATGTTTTACCTTTCAGACGTCTCGATCGCTGATATATGAATCCTCCCAGTATCAATTTTGTTCCCAAATTTATTGGAGTATCCATGTTTTTAATTGTAAATGAATATAAAAAATGAATTAAAAAATGAATTAAAAAATGAATATAAAAAATGTCACGTTACAATATTAATTGCGTTTAAAAACAATTAAACAGTTTCCATGGTAACATGCAATTTCTTTTATTTTTCGAAAATTATTTTATTAATAAGAAAAAAAAATACTTTTCGGGAAATTCGCGTTTAGGGAAAATAGTTTTCGGGAAATTCGCGTTTAGGGAAAGTATTTTTCGGGAAATTCGCGTTTAGGGAAAATAGTTTTCGGAAATTCGGCTTCGGGATAATGGTCTTCGGGAAAAAGGTATTCGGGAGTTTATATTTTCGGGAAATTTGATTTTCGGGATATTGTCTTTCGGGTTTCTGGATTCGGGAAAATGACCGGGAATCGAATTTTAGTTAAAAACACTTAAACAAATTGAATTTTGAAGCAAATAAAAATAATTGCAGAAATTGTCGTAGAATTTTCTAATAAATATTGATTCAAAAATGAATTCCAAATTAAAATCTTTGAAAATTTGAACTTTTCATACTTTTAATTAATAATTATACAGAATTAATTTTTTCTCAATGAGTTTAATGGAATTTTTTTTTAATTATTTGAAGTTTTTAATTTCTAATATATTTAATTAAAGAATGTCAGAATAATCGAAATTTCGTTAAATTAAATTGTAAACAAAAGAATTTGAAAATTCACAAAGAACTTTTAAAAAAATTAAAAAAAAATGAAGAATTTTAGTTTAAAATTTTAGAAATGAATATTCGTAATGATGAAAATAATTTTTGAAAAAGTTACAGTAACAAAGTAGCAAGTTTTAATTATTATAAAACATGAAGATATCGATCACTCCGAGTCTTCGACTCGGAGTGATCGATATCTTCATATTTTATAATAATATTTTTATGTTATTGAATTTCGAATTAAAAATAAAAATAAAGTTATTGATGTTTATTTAATTAATTTAATTAATTTAATTATTTAATTATAGAAAAAAATTGTTGGCGATAAATAAACTTAGGATAGTTATAGCTACATTGAGACAAATAGAGTAATTGAACAAAAACTTTTTGTACCAATTGACAAAAAATATTTTTTACCTAAAAACTTTTCTATCTAGAAGAAAATGATTTCAATTTGTAAATATCATTAGAAACTTTGCTTCAAAATATGAAATAGAAACTTCTTTGTTGACTCAACAAAAGAGTTTTTCGTGTTTAACTAGTTGAAAAGTTGTTGAAAATGTTAGTCTTAATAAGGAAGTTTTGCAATTTGGCACAAACTGCCTGAAAATTGTGAACTGATTAAAAAACCTTATCAATTTTTTAATAACTATTCTATTGTTATTATTATTTATGTTAGAAAAAAATAATTCTTTTCGAGTCAAATAAAAAGAGAATTATTATAATAACTATTATAATATTTTTTTTTTGAAAATTAAAACTGGAAAAAAGGTTTTTAATATTATTTATTACTATTATTATTATTATTATTATAATTTTTATTTTTAATATCTTTATTATTATATTGAATTAGCTTATTGATTTTTCGAGTTGACTGTTTAATTTATAATTAGTTTTTTTTCATTGCTTGTTGAAGTCAGTAACTGAAGACTTTTCGATATCAATTTAAAGTTTAATCGTTTACTTTTGTAATATCATATCATTCTTTCGCGGATGTGTAATTACAGCAAGCTTCTTCATAATGATATTCATGCAATTATGTTTTACTATGCTTTATATATTAGCGACGGAAATGTAACTTCACTTGCGTAACTATTCTCTTTAAACAACTTTTGTTGCATATTGTGAGAAATATCTGTATTGTGAATTGTATTATACTCGAAAAAATTGCATTTTTATTTCATTTCATATCAAAACAATATGATAAAATAATATTTTAATAGCAAATATTTTTCAATTTTTTTAAACTGGGAACAAAATTTTACAAGTTGACAGAAAAGAAAAAAAATGGACATAAATAATTAAAATTAAATGAACTAAAATCAATATGAATAATTATTTGAAATTAAGTTTATGTTTCAAGGTATAAAAAATGTTAAAAAATAAATTATACCGAGAGGATAAATTTCTCTTTTTTTTTATTTCTCCTTTCGGAAATTGAAAAATTATTCTGAATTTTTGAAACGATAAAAAATGAAATTAATCTATAAATATGAGCATGAATCCTGAATTTTTGACCTTGAATTAATGATCCTTGAACTAGACTATTTTTATACACAATATCTGACATAGTTCCTAATTCTCATATTTGTGCATGCAAAGCATATCGCATATTTTTCTTTCATAATTTTTCATTTCTGGGCACGCGATTTTTGTTTGTACTTTTCTCATTTTTTGCGTCGTAATTTATTCCATGACTCTCACGTATGTGTGTGTATATATTTTATTGTAGAGAATTTTTCTTTTTTCCAATTTTAATATGTAATTTTCATGTTGAATTTTATATTTTTGATAAAATAATTAATAACTCATTTGCATAATTATTTTTTAAAAATACGCGTTGAAAGAAATTGTGCGAGATTTAAATTTCCGCATGAATTTACTTCACTTTTATTTAATAATTTTATTAAACGGAGAAAAAGTATAATGAAAATATGAATATGAATAATAATAATAATAATAATAATAATAATAATAATAATAATAATAATAATAGTAACTGAATAATAAATGTGGAAATACTAAAATGAGTAAAAGTAGTAAAAGTATTAAAAGAGATAAAATAATAATAATAATAATGAAGAATAAAAAAAATACAGTCAGAGAAATATGATAGTAAAATGATTCTTATTGTCATCTAAAGAAAAAATATGTTGAATATTGGGAAAAAAAAATAAAAATAGTTTGTGAATTGATGCAGAAAAGTGGGTTGAAAGAAATAAGGAAATAAAAAGACAATGCAATGCTTCTGTCAAGTGATATTGATGTCACATTTTTAGAATAATGTTGGATTTTACATTTTTAGAATATGCGAAAATTATTATTTTTACGCAATTTTAATAATTCCCGGAAAACCCGGGAATAAGCCAGGAATTTTATACGAAACCGGTAATTTTTTTACCAAATTAAAAAAGCTTTATTATTTTAATTTGTTTTAAAAAAATCGCTTTTTATTTCAAGATATTTATACTCTTCTCTAAATTTAAATTAGTTAAAAATAATTAATTTGATAGTAAAAAATCAGTCACTGATTCAAATATAGTATGTAAATAAATTTTTAAAAATTATCGAATTAATAGAAATTTTGTGAAATTTAACTGAAAATAATTAAATCTGTTAAAGAATTTCATTAAAAACTTTTTAACAAATCGAATTTTCAAAGTATTTTAATTTAATAATTGATAAATAATTGAGTTTTATAAAGAGTCACATTCTAATGTATTCATGTTTCTTAGTGCGAAGATTAATAATTAAAATTTTCACTAGTTAATTTACAAAAAGATTCACACTTAAAATTTTTAATAAAATTGAATTTTTGCAAAGTTTTTTTTTGAAAATTCTGAAAAATAAGATTTTTGAAATTTTTCAATTCTATTGTTTCAAGATAATTGGATTTTTATAAATAAATAATTGAAAATTTTTGAAATAATTGAAATTTCTTTACATTCTATTAAAAATAATTAAATTTTTTTAAAGAATTTTATTTATATTTTTCGAAAATAATCAAGGGCAGTTGGTCACCGTAATTATAATTTTATTTTTAAAAATTTCTTCGCAATATATTCAATTATTTTCATAAATAGTAAAACTCATTGCAGAATTTCAATTATTTTTATTACAATTTTAATCGAATTCCTTGAAAAATGTAATTATTCTTAAAAATTTTATTAAAATTCGTTAAAAAATCCAATTATTTTTAGAAACTGTAAAAAAAATTCTTCTCAAGAATTAAATTGTTTCTATGAATAGCAAAATTCTTCAGATTTACTAAATTCTTCTGAATAAAATTTTTAAAAAAATTCTTTACAAAAATACAATTATTTTGATAAATTTCCATAAAATTCTAAAAAAACAATTCAATTATTTTCAAAAGTAATCAAATTCTTCGCAGAAATTCAATTATGTTTAAAAAATTACAAAAATTCTCGTCAAAATTTCAATTATCTTTATAAACAATTAAATTGTTCTCCACAATTCAATTATTTTCAAAAATTTTAATAAAATTCTTTCATTAATTAAATTTTTTTCCTTGAAAAATGTAATTATTCTTAAAGAATTTTATTAAAATTCGTCGAAGGAATACAGCGGTTTTCAAAAAATTTATCCAAATTCAATTATTTTCAATTAATTTAATAAAAAATCCTAAAAGAATTGAATTATTATTAAAAAAATATTTGTTATAAAATTAATTCGCAATAATTCAATTATTATTTTCAGAGAAAATAAAAAATTTTACAGGAATTCAATTATTTAAAGAAAATTTTAATTATTTTTAATACGATTTTAAAGAAATTTATCGAAGAATGCAATTATTCTCAAAACTTTTATTTAAATTTAATTATTTTCACAAATAATACAAAATTTTCTCTGGAATTTAATTATTGAAAAATTTGTAATAAAATTCTTTGTAAGAATTCAATTATTTTCTTAAACATTAAAATTCTTTAAAAAATCAATTATTTTCATAAATAATAAAATTATTTATAGGAATTCAATTATTTTGTATAAATAATAAAGCTTATTGTGGAATTTCAATTATTTTCAATACAATTTTAATCGAATTCCTCGAAAAATGTAATTATTCTTAAAAATGTTAGATATTAATAGTCGTGAAAAGAATTCAATTATTTAAAAAAAATTTTGATAAAATTCTTTATGAGAATTAAATTCTAAAAAACATTCAATTTTTGAATAAATTATTTATTTTTGTATTTTAATAATTGAATTCTCGTAGAATTTTTGAATGAAAATTGATTTAAAAATGAATTCTCCAAATTTCAATTATTTTTATAAATAATTTAATTGTTCTCCACGATTCAATTATTTTCAAAAATTTTAATAAAATTCTACGCAAACATTTGATTATTTTCATAAATAATAACATTATTTTGAAGGATTCAATTTTACAAATAGTAAAATTCTTTGCAGAAATTTAATTATGAGCAGACAAGATTATTTTAAAAAATTGAAAAAATTCTTTTTCAAATATTTGATTAAAATTATTATAAAAACATTATTTTCAAAAAATTTAAAGAAAATTGTCAAAAGAATTTAATTATTCATAAAAAATGTAATATAAATTTTGGAAGCCATTTGTAGATTTATTTATTGTTCGAAATGAAAAAAATTTAAATTTGATGGGAAAAATGACTGGGAAAAATTAGGACAAACCTGGGAATTTTTTTGAACGAAAATATTAGACACCCTGGGTGTTTTATTCAATTATTTCATTGGAAATTCATTTGATATTTAAAAATCAATATCATCTGCAAATAATTGATTTACTTTTCGTAAATTGTAAAATTTTTACTATAAATTTTTTGTTCAATTGATAAATTATTAATGAAAATTAATTTTGAAATGAAATATGAACATGTTTAAGAATAAAATTTTCATTTTTTTCCATTTTATGGATCACTATAATTGCAATATGATTTGAATAATAATATTGTCTCGCTTGTGAAATATATCTCTCGGTGTGCAGTCAGGATGATAAGTGTATTCATCCGTTTCTTGAAAATCGGGTCGTCATGTTTCCTCCATCAATCTTCATAAAATTTTGGTCGTCCATTATTCGTATTTCAGTATATTAGTAATATGTATGCTTTCGTCGAACGTGCAATCCAAGAAGTGAGAATTTTGGGGCAAGTCAACATGAAATATAAACGATTGGTAGCAATTTGATTTAACAGAGTGACAGATTTTCTACTCCGGAGAGGAAAAAAGAGAGAGATGGATAAAAGAATTTTTTTTAAAGTTAAACTGTGACATAAGCTTTCATCCAATAATTTAAAACGATGATTTAACGTTTTCAAATATTCAGAACAACGATTTAGAGAGAGATGAATAATTTTTATCTGTTGAACAAAAAAAAAATTGTTGTTTCTTTTTTATGGAAAGGAACATTATTTTTTACTTATTTAGTTTATTATATTAAAATTTTTAAAATAGTTATATTAAATTTTGTATCTGTATGTAAATTAAAATATATTCTAGATAATGAAATAAGTTTTCAAGTTAGTTGTTTATAAACTTATCAGTCTACACGTGAGCTCCAGTGGTACTTTCGCTGCATTTAACTTTAAGATATTCTCTCGGAACTGTGATTCACGCTTATTTATACAAATGGAAACCTGGTTTTCAAATTGTCAACACACCTTGTAAATTTAATTTTAATTGTAAAATAAAATACCGTAATAATTCTACTATATTATCTACCGATAATTTTTGAATCTATTTCTAAACATTGTAAACTCTGTAACTTTTCTTCACACACGAAAATTTGTTTCTTTTCAAGGGGTAGAGAGAAAGAAAATATTTTTCTTGTTGCAAAGATTTTTATCGAATGGCTAGTTACGATTTTATTATTAATTTTTAGGTGCTTGAAAGATTTGAGATTTTATGTGGCCTTAAAGGATGATAAGGAACTTCATGGGACGTCGACATTTTGGAGTCTTGCACATGACTCGATTTGGAATACGACAAATTTGATAGAACCAAATTCAAATTTAGTGGTGGCGACTGCAACATTTGATGTGCCATCTTTCGTTGGTGGCACGGCTGTTGAAGCGTCGGGTATTATTTTGTACGAGGCTGCTAAGAAACATTATCAAACAATTGTTCCGAACTTTAGTCTATCGGTGAATAATTCAATTGATGATAAATTGAGTCCTCAATTTGAAAATCAACCTGAGAACAGTATTCTCGCATTGAAAGCGGTTTCAATAGATAAAACAGTGTCATTCAATATTCAGTTTCCCGATGCTTGCGAGAGGTTCATCAATTTTTTACGAAGACACACATTCACTGAAATATTTGAGGACATACAAATAATTAAAACTGGTTCTCTCAAGTATTGTATTTTGGAAATGCTCTCCATCACACCGGATGAAATTACAGTTAGAATAGTTGTCAGGTTTGTTGAGATTTTTCAAGTTTGGTACAATATTTGGTATTTTCAGGTATTTTAGTATTAAAAATAATCACTATAAAAAATGTGTCTTGGTTTTAGTCCAATTTCGGCTATTGTCTTTATTTTAGAGAAAAATTATTTTAAGGCCTAGAGATGTTTTCTAATTTTATTTTTAACTCAAAAATGATTTAAATTTAGGAAAAACCACGTCTAAGCTGTGAGTGTTTTAAGACTTTAAAACTTTAAGACTTTAAGACTTTAAGATTTTAAAACTCCAAGACTCAATACTTTTTATAGTGATGAAATTTTGTCGAATGACTATTCCCCAGAAAATAAAAAATTATCGAGTTATCATAGGCCGCAAAATTTTAAGTTTCACACAAATATAGTTTTTTCCTCCTTATTGATTTAAATTTAAGAAAAAAAATTGTTTTCTAGGCACTTGTTTCAATTAAGTATTGTTTTGAGTCTTCTGCGGGCAGAATTTCCGGATGTTCCGAATTTCGAAACAAAGGAAAATTTAAAGGATGCAGCAGAGGTTCTTCTTGAGGAAATGCGTCTCTATTTGGCTAATGCATCTCAGGCTCAAATACAAAGAGCAAAAATCAATTCTGATTGCTGTATTCCGTAATTTTTTCCTTGAGATTTACACTAATTTATTTTTCTATTTATAATACAGATTCCTCAGAAGTTTTTTTGCAATACTATTTTTCTTTACAAATTGATTCTTTATTGTTTTTTTGTTCGATTCTTTAGATATTCTTATCAAAAACAAAGAGATGAATTTCTTTCGTTTATAAAAATGTGATTTTTTTGTCAGGAATATTTGTACCTGTAAATAAAAAAAAACGGTTGAAAATGCTTCTTTTGAGTATTGGTATTTAAATTCACTGCTTGCACTGAAAAAATTATTTGATTCAAATAATCGATTACTCGCCTACCATTTTTAATTTTGTAAAATTGATATTCGTGTAATTTAATAATTTTTATTTTTCAAATATTGGAATAAAAATTTGTATGCTTGCAGAGCTCGGATTGTACGACTTTTCCAAATTTTTTGAAAACATTAATAACTTCGTTTTTAAATAAACATTTAATTATTATTTTTCCATAGGAATTAAAATTCTTCAAAAGATTCAAATTCAAACTTTTTCGAAATTAAACAACTTATAAAAATTGTTATAAAACATGAAGAAATCGATCACTCCGAGTCTTCGACTCGGAGCAATCGATGTCTTCATGTTTTATAATAATTAAAGATGACTGAGTGATAAAATCATTTGTTTATATTATAAGACTTATTTATAAAAAAAAATTTTTTTAAATTATTTTTTATGAAAATAATTGTATTATTGAGAAGAAATTTATAAAACATTAGAACATTATCATTAATTGAATTTTTGCGAAGAATTTTCTTACTTTTGAAGATAATTAAATTTTGCAAAGAATTTTTTTGAACTACCTTTCACGAATATTAAAAACATTTTTAAGAATGATTACATTTTTTGAGAAATTCGATTAAAATTGTATTATAAATAATTGAAATTCTACAATAAGTTTTATTATTTATACAAGTAATTGAATTCCTAAAAATAATTTTATTATTTATGAGAATAATTGATTTTTTAAAGAATTTTAATATTTAAGAAAATAATTGAATTCTTACAAAGAATTGTATTACAAATTTTTCAATAACTAAATTCCTGAGAAAATTTGTATTTTTTGTGAAAATAATTGAATTTAAATAAAATTTTTGATAATAATTGCATTTTTCAGTAGATTTTTTAAAAATCGTATTAAAAATAATTCAAATTTTCTTTAAATAATTGAATTCATGTAAAATTTTTTATGTTCTCTGAAAATAATAATTGAATTGTTGCGAATGAATTTTTAAAAAATAAATTTTTTTTTGATAATTCAATTCCTTTAGGATTTTTTACTAAAATAATTGAAAATAATTGAATTTCGATAAATTTTTTGAAAACAGCTGAATTTTTTCGACGAATTTTAATAAATTTTTTTTTTAAGAATAATTACATTTTTCAATGAAAAATAATGTTATTTGTGAAAGAATTTTATTAAAATTTTGTTAAATAATTGATTGCTTTAACATAATTTTATTAAAACAGATATTGAAAATCATTTAATTAAAGAAATTTTTTGAAAATAATTGAAATTTTGACAAGAATTGTATTAAAATTCTTGGCAAATAATTGAATTTCAGAGAAGAATTTTATTATTCATAAAGATAATTGAAATTTTAAACAGATTTTTTTTTAAATGTTTAAAAGAAATTGAATTTTGCAGAAGAATTTTGATATTTATGAAGATAATTGAAATTTTGAGGAGAATTAAAAAAAAAAAAATTTTTGAAAACAATTGAATTTCTGCGAAGAATTTTCTTACTTTTGAAGATAATTGAATTTTGTGAAGAATTTTATCAGAAATTTTGAAAATAATTAAATTTCCATGATGAATTTTATTATTTATAAAATTTTGACGAGAAATTTAAAATAATTTTTGAATATAATTGAATTTCTGGGAAGAATTTTATTTCTTTTGAAAATAATTGAATTTCAGAAAAGAATTTTATTATTTATAAAGATAATTGAAATTTTGAGGAGAATTAAAAAAAAAAAAATTTTTGAAAACAATTGAATTTCTGCGAAGAATTTTCTTACTTTTGAAGATAATTGAATTTTGTGAAGAATTTTATCAGAAATTTTGAAAATAATTAAATTTCCATGATGAATTTTATTATTTATAAAATTTTGACGAGAAATTTAAAATAATTTTTGAATATAATTGAATTTCTGGGAAGAATTTTATTTCTTTTGAAAATAATTGAATTTCAGAAAAGAATTTTATTATTTATAAAGATAATTGAAATTTTGACAAGAATTTTATTAAAAATTTTTTTTAATTATTTAATTTCGGAGAAGAATTTTTTTATTTATAAAGATAATTGAAATTTTGACAAGAATTTTATTAAAATTTTTTTTTAATTATTTAATTTCGGAGAAGAATTTTATTATTTATAAAAATAATTGACATTTTTAAGAGAATTTTTAAAAAAATGTTAAAAATACCTAGTTTTGACAATTTCGTGTTTCATTTTTGTCGTTTTTTCTAAAATTTCATGCGATTTTTTTTTGAAATTTTATGCGACTTTTCGTGACTTTTGTTGTGAATTTATGCGACTACAGCGACTTTTTTTGAGTCTAGACGATCCGAGCCCTGTGCTTGTTATAATAACAAAATTGTTATTTTTTGATAGTAGATGATTCAAATAAATATTTATTTGATAATAGATAAGTAATAGATAAAAAATTGTTATGAATATTTTTTTAAAAATAAGTAATACTTTTATGGTATATTTAAAATATTTCCCTTTTTTCTGTCCCCAAATGAAGGCTTTCATAGGAAATGGTTGAAAAAAATATAAACTGTTCGTTCTTTGTATTTTTTTTTTTTTGGAGAAAGGAAACGTTTATTTTTTTTGTTGTTGTTTTTTACAAAACCGAAAATATATGCGATTCATCTACTATATATTGATATATACGACGGTCCTATTTTTTAATCTGCCTCCATTATCAGAAAAATTCGCATATGATTCAAGGTAGAGTTTGTGATTTTTCGTTAAAATGAAAAAACAGGGAAGTGAGTTGTTCTAATAAGTGTCTATATAGTGGACGGGCGAAGTTGAGTATATGTATTGCCACTGAAGTTTACAAATTTGATGATCGAATATCTTCTCATCTTCTAACAGAAGCAGTTTTTTTTTATTTTTATTTATTTATAACGTCGTATAATGCAACGCGATGTATTCAAATTGCGAAACCTATTTTTTCTTCGCTTGTTACATTTTCACTTAAGTTTTTGTTTAGGTTTAATAATTTTTTTTTTGTTTTTATCTTCTTGCTATTGTGAATTTTTTGTCTATATTTACTCGCATTTATTACATATGAAATGTACCACTTTTGAAATTGTGGTAACTTTTTTTTATATGCACGTCACTTTTGGATGTGACTATTTTGTTTCTATTATATACATACGCCACGATAATGCTGCTGCTTTTGTATAGACTGCGTTTTTTTTATACATACGTGTGTTTATTTATTTATTTTTTTTTTGGCTTATTTTGTTATTATTAATAATATACTTCTCTTCGCATTTTTTTTACTTTTTTTTTCTTTTTTTTGTATCGATATTATCTCAGCTAAGGCATTCAGTATGGCAAGTACATATAATGTAAAGATAATTCCAATGCGCGAATTCGTTTTGTAGTAAATATAATAAAGAAATTAAAATTTTTTCGTCTAACGCTTTCTCTATGTTTACATATGTATATTTAGTCGAATTAAAGATTGTTGGTTTATGTGTATTTTGTGTGTGTATATTGAGTTTACTTCTCGTTTCGATCAACGAATTATATCTCGACTCTCGATTTGATTTCAGTTTTTTTTGTCCTTCACGGAAAAAATTCTATAGAATAACGACCTATCTAGCACCAGCACGTGCAAATGGAGTATGAAGCAGTTGTAACAATTTGAAATTTACACATTTTCGCTTCAGGACATACTTCCTTCTTGCATACTTTCGCACTTATGCATATGCATACATAATATAATACAATATAATTATAATATATTATATATCTATAGGCATATTATATATGTTTACTATATAATGCAAATTTGCCTACACGAGTGTAGATTAATTTAAAGTAGAAGAATTTAATGGTGAGGCTAACGCTACTAATAGAAAAATCAATATCACGTGGTCAATTTTCATTTTTGTTCTATTTTTTTAATTACATTATTGCTAACCTAGACCAAAAATCACCAATAAATTCTGGTGCTGTAAATGCACTCAAAGTATATACAATTATTTATTTCCTTTTAATTGTAATATTTTTTTTAATGTTAAAATTGAGTTTCAACTTTTAAATAAATATTTGAAGAAAGAATCAGTTGTTTGACTGATGAACTTACATGAAATGAAAATAATTTTATTTTAATATTTATTTAATATTAATAATTAATGATAAAAGTTCTTTAAATCAAATAATATTATTTAGAACAAATATTTGTCTAGTTCCAACATAAACAGGGTTGCTACGCAACCTAGAAAATCTGGAAATATCAGAGAATTTTATAAACCTTGAAAAAATCTGAAAAAGTCAGGGAATTTTTATCGAAATCCTGGAAAATTGTTTGTGTTTATTCTTGAAATCTAATTTCAATTAAATATTTCAAAATTAATTCAATTTTAAAAGAATTGCGTCTACAATTTTCATAAGTATGAACTTCAAAAGATTTTGATTTAAAATTTTGTCAAATTTCAATTTTAAATGAATTTAATTAGAAATATAAAAAAACTTAGATTTAAAAAAAAAATTTTAAACTTAACTTCTTCTGAAATTAGTTAAATTTTTTAATATATTATATTTAATTGATTATTAAAAATAATGGATTTATAGAAGAATTTTAGTTAAAAACACTAAAACAAATTAAATTTTGAACCAATCTTTGAAAACCTGAATTTATTATTTTATTACCTACTTTAAAAAATTTTAATAAAATGCTTGGTTATTATTTTTAAAAACTTTCCTCAATTCCATGATTTTTAATATTTACTACTTTAATAAGAATTCGTAAAAGAATTCATTTAGTTAAAAAACAGTTTAATAAAATTCTATGCAAATATTTCATTATTTTCATAAATAATAAAAATTTCACAGGAATTCAATTATTTACATATTATTTGCATATATTATTCAATTATTTTTATGAATAATAACATTTTTACAGGAATTTTTTTCAGAATTTTTTTCAAAATAATTTTAATAAAATTCTGCGCAG